ATGAGTCAGCACTTTTGCATGATAGGATAGAAGTGTGACCTCTGTAAGGCGTACAAAGCATTGACCTCCAGTTTTAACTGTTTATACAAAAAAGGGTTCTTTGTCGCATGTGTTAGCTCCACCGCCTTTTCCACTTCTTCACAGGCGCCCGTGTTCAATCCAGACTTCCCGATTAGCACATTGCTGGATGCCCTCAGGTGACAACCCGCAGCTCAGTGAAGTGACATGGTGATTCCTGGATAGGAATTCCTCCATTTCCCTTTCATGTGTGCTACTGGGAGTGTGTTCTGGCTGAGATCCACTTGGAATGCGGTTCATCCCATTAGCGTAAAACACAGTACTTTAATCTGCTCAGCTAGGTCTTCGTGCAATGTGAGCAAAAGTGCAAATGACACGTGCACCTAAGAAGTCTTTAAGGCCAGCTCTGAGGGAATGGCTCCACACGGGGAGCAGGCTGCCTGGAGAGGGTGGGCATGAAGGCGTTCTTCAGCCTGTCCACGGCAAGGGCTAATCTCCACGCCGGGAAAACCATAGGTGAGAGGGTTGGGTGTTGAGAGCCCGGGAGTGCTTTTTACAACGTGTGCACGCACACACAGGCATGGATAAGGTGCCCGGGGAAGGGAACTCCACTGCTGCTCATCAGCACCAGCCTGGGGACCCCAGCCATCTCTGCTCACAGGGGCTAAGAGGTAGAACAGAGAGAAAGGAAGCAGACAAACAGGGACGGGCGCCTCATGAAACCTGGACACCTTTGATTCCCAAAGATGCTGGCCTCCGTCATTCGCCCTCCCACCCACAGCCCGTGGGCTTCACTCTCCAGACTCTTCCGGCAGTTTTATTCCTTCCAGACACTGGCCCCTCCCTGAATCTGGCTTTCCCTGGGCTTCAGCAGGACCGTGCTGGATCTTTATGAAACGTCGGGTTTCCCCGCCATCCCTGCTGCAGCTCAGCGGACCGGTACCGGGAGGTGGGAGGAGTGGGGCTCACTGGCAGTCCCCACTGCTTCTGCTCCTCCTGCTGGCAGTGCCATGAGTGCGGCAGACATGCTGGGAGGACGGCGTTTTGGTTTTGCGGTGAGGAGAAGGCAGACAGACATTTCTATTCCCTGCTCTCTGTGAATGCACCAAACACACTGCATGGTTTTACTCCCAGACCTTCAGGAGCTCAGGGAGGCAGAACCGCCTCAGTAATGTCCCTTAAAACAGGGACTTGAGCCGGGCACTGTGGCTCAAGCCTGTAATCCCAGCTCTTAGGGAGGCAGAGGCGGGAGGATAGCTTGAGCCCAGGAGTTCGAGACCCGCCTGGGCAATATAGTGAGACCCCGTTCTCCACAAAAAGACAAAAAAAAAAAAAAAAAAGCCTAAAACAGGGATTTGGGTCCAGGCACAGTGGCTCACACCTGTAATCCCAGCACTTTGGAAGGCCAAGGCGGGCGGGTCATGAGGTCAGCAGGTCAAAACCATCCTGGCTAACAGCTGAAACCCCATCTCTACTAAAAATAGAAAAAAGATTGGCCGGCCATGGTGGTGGGTGCCTGTAGTCCCAGCTACTCAGGAGGCTGAGGCAGGAGAATCGCTTGAACCCGGGAGGCAGAGGCTGCAGTGAGCTGAGATTGCACCACGGCAAACCAGCCTGTGCGACAGAGCAAGACTCCATCTCACAAAACGAAAAACAAAAACAGGGACTCAAGTAGGTTATTCTCCCCCAGCTGCAGGATGCCCCCGCTCTTCACATGACACGAACACCAGTGCTGGGCTGTGCCACACACGTCTTCCCTGAGAAATGTGCTGGACAGCCGGGTCCTTCCATCCAGCTGAGTCCTCATGCCCATCAGCTCCCTCCTGCTCTGTTCAGGTGTGTCTGCCCTGATTCGGCACAGTGGCAGGCGGTATTTTTCTCCTGGGAATTGGCCAGTTCCCTTAGGCACCTTCTAACCACTGAAAAGTCAGGAACGAAGTTTCTGGACCTTGGTGATACAGTTAATAGCACACCATGCCCTTGGACAGGACAAGGCGCTGCTCGTGTAAATCCCAGCATGTGCACCTTGTCACCTGCTGGGATGCTTTTTTTTTTTTTTGAGACAGGATCTTGCTCTGTTGCCCAGGTTGGAGTTCAGTGGCACAATCTTGGCTCACTGCAGCCTCAATCTTCCGGGCTCAGGTGATCCTCCCACCCTAGCCTCCCAAGCATCTGGGACTACAGGCACATACCACTATACCTGGCTAAGTTTTGTATTCTTTTTTTTTTTTTCTTTTAACAGAGATGGGGTTTTGCTATGTTGCCCAAGCTGGTCTCAAACTCCTGGGCTCAAGTCGCCCAGCCCTCCGGCCTCCCAAGGTGCTGGGATTCCAGGCGTGAGCCACTGCCCGGCCCTCTGGGCTGTTTGTGTAATGCCATCTGTGCCTCCTCCCATGTGTCATGCAGGAGCACCAATCATATTTCCTGATCTATCTCTGAGCAGACATGGTATCAATGGCCAGTAACATAGGGCCTCCTGGAGACAGCCCTGTGCAAAGGCAGCCAGCCACGCACCATGGTAGATGGAAGCTAATTAAAAATGACTTATGAAACACTGCAGACGCCACAGCCTGAAGCCGCGGATGAACAAGCACTCGTGCTTCAACACTGGCTTTTCACAGGGAAGGCAGCCATGCTAACGTTGGTAAGTCATTATTCACCTCCCTGAAACTCACCAAAGGGTCTTCGGCCCTCCCCCAGGCCCCACCTCCGGCCCCTTCTGTGTGCCTGTGACAAACCCTGGCATTCCAATCCTTCTGCTTCCTTTAAGCTGAGGTGTTGAGAAAGGCAACGATTGTACACTTTCACGTCAAGGACTTATTCTCAGAAAAATGACTCATTTTTATTTAAAGGGTCTATTCAAGTGAGAAATGAATCATTCCCACCTGATGGCCCTCACTGGGTGGGAGAGGGGGCGGAGGTTAGGGAAGAACCAAGTCTCCAGGGGAGAACCAAGTCTCTGAGCGCTGCTTGCTGACTCTCCAGCTTACAATCCCAGGCTCTGGAGCCTGAAAGAAAACTGTTTTTAAAGGCATTTGACCTAAACCAAGTTTTAAAAGTATCTTTAAGTATTTCCTTTTTTTTGGACAATGAAACCCTAATTGCAACACCCAGAGTTTAGGCTTAGAAGCAACTTTGACAGGACCTGTAGCCATGAAATTTGCATCCCTGTAACACAATAACCTATCATGACAAAGATCTGCTGACGTCAGTTCCTTTATTGCTCTTATTTGCTGGCCAAGGGAGGGACCCAGGGCCCTGACATTGTTGCCTGGTGCTGTAAGTATTGGATCTGGGTCACTCTGACCTACAAATGGATACGTAGCCCTGGAAGAACCTGCACGTTTGGAGGAGGAAGAAACACAGCAATAGCTTCTAAAGGCTTGGCTGCCTCCAGGTCGTGCAATTTTACGGGCTCCCAGGACACGGCAGCCACGTTTTGGAAAACAGTCTCTCACAGTGCACAGAGCAGCAGCGTGCTCACCCCGGGGCCAGCTGTAGAAAAGTAGGAAGAGCCAGGTGCAGACGCTCACACCTGGAATCCCAGCACTTTGGGAGGCTGTGGCAGGAGGACTGCGTGAGGCCAGGTGTTTGAGACCAGCCTGGGTAACATAGCAAGACCCCGTCTCTACAATAAACACAGTTAACTGGTGTGATGGCATGCGCCTGTGGTCCCAGCTCCTCGAAGACAGAGGTGGGAAGATCACTAGAGCCGCACGAGTTGCTGTTGCTCTGCTGCACTCCTGCCTGGGCGCAGAGCGACGCCCTGTCTCAAATAAATACAGGAAAGAAAAGAGAAAAGAAACGGAAAGAAGAGAGAAAGGAAAAGAAAAAAGTAGGAAGAAGGCGACACTGACCCACCTTTGTCTTTGCTTTCTGAAAACAGAGCATTGCCGGGTGACCGGCTGAGGGGCAGGACGTGCAGGGTGGTATTCAGCTGCGGAAGAGGCGCTCCTGACAGGCTGGGGCACAGCACAGCGAACACGTGTGTCTTTAAAATGGCCGTACGCATGTGCAGGGATCGTCACCTTATTTTTCGGGATTGCATCCATGTTAGGGACCATTTGAACTGTGGAAATCATAGCCAGTGTTTGACATCCCGAAAGCAAAACAAAACCCAGCAACCCCAAGGACCAGATTCCAGAACTAGCAAAAGGACCACAGCCGGACTCCTGAGAGGCCTGCGCAGCGTTGCTGGCCACACCTACCAGGGCAGAGGGAAAGGACCACACACTCCAGCACCTTGAGCCTGGGTGTGGGCGGGCAGTGTGGGTGAGCGCTGGTCCCCGGCGTGGTCCCCATTCATAGGCAGAGAAGCCAAGCTTCACGTAGCCTGTCTGCCACGGGTGGTGGGGGCCTGGGAGCTGGGAAGGGACCCTCCTGGATCCTGGATCCCAGCCCTCTGACAGGTGCTCCAAGCACCTCCACCAGTTTGCGTGGGAACTCCAGAGAGCAAGAGCTGGGCTGTGCCCGTCGCTCCTTGAGGTGGTGCAGATGTGCTCTGCTCCCCTGGCAAGAAAACTCCATTCTGCTCTTTGCTGTTTCAGCCCAAACCTTTTGGAAAATTAGCAACGCCATATGGAGATTGAAATATCACTTTCTCCAGTTTTACTTCAAATAGAGAAAATGACCCCATGATGAATTTCAGAGCTCACAGTTGGGCTTGTAGGGCTCTCAGACTCATACCTGGTCTAACTCTGGAAAACCAAGGGTGGGCCACCATTTGTAATTCTCCTACAGAGGCCTGGGGTCACTCCCTTCCTGGGAACGCTGCTGCCTGGAAGGTTGAAGGCAGGGAAGTCAGGTGATCTCAGGGTGGTGCTTTGTGGGTATCGATCTGGAGAGGGGATATGGGGACTTCAGTGATGAGGATGGGGTCTGTAAATGCAGGGCCGAGGGATGTGTTCCTGGATTCCAAATTGATGGGAAAGTCCTCGCAGAAAACCATGAACTCACAGGAAAAGGAAAGTCTACCAGCACGGCATGCTTCCATGATTTATTCACGTGTAGATAACGCTTAAAAGGACACCACCAGGAGGAATGCTGATGACAGGACTCTGCCAGTCACTGCTGAGTTCATGCAGCACGAATGTCTTGTCTCGATGTAAGTGGCTCAACAAAATGCTGGGACTCGGCACTGATGGGGTCAAGGCTTCCTGTGAATTAATAAGCAGATACACAGTCACCTCTGTCTCCTGACCTCTGTAAGGTGAGTTGCTGGGCTGTGAATGACAACACAGCCGAGTGCTGAGAGCTGGGGAGCGTGGAGGACCCATACGTTCGGGGCCCCTCCTGAAGCACTGGAAACATCTGAAGCTTCATTGAAAGCTCTCCTCATGTATGCCCCAGGTGTCAGGAAGAGTGACGTCCAACCTTGGCAGTGCTGTGTTCCTACATGTAAAACCAAGATTCTCAGCATCATCCTCAAAAGGACCCATGGAGATCACTGCCCTGAGCCAATCACCCAGCAAGTGCAGCGGGAATGCCCTGTGCCTGGAGCTGGCTGCTGTGGAGAACGTAGATGCGCAGTGTGGGGGCTCTGCCGGGCGGAGCGTGGGGCTGCCTGGCTCTCGTCTCCACCCTCCAAGAGCCCACGTGTCTCTGCGCATCGGCCACAGTCTGAGCTGGGCACAGAATTGACTTGTGGCCTCTTCAGTTTCCTCGGAGGCTCTTTCTTATTCCTGCTTCTTAGAAACAGCCAGGGTGGCAACTGAAAGAAATGGCGAAACAGGTCAAAACGGGGACAAAGGGCTGCCCAGTGCTGAGATCAGCACTTATTGGGAGCCTCCCCTGCTCCCCAGGCCCTGATAATTTGGATTACAAACGCTCAGCCAATCGGCTCTACTCTTGCAGTTGCACTGACTCTGCTTGTGACTTTAAAATAAGAGTGATGCCATGTGTGTATTGATAACACCAGTGAGCCACTTTCAGATTCCGGTTAAAAATTGCCAGCTGTTTCTCATCAGCCCGTCGGTGGCACCCGCGGGTGAGGACTCTGGTCGGGGGCGGCCCCAACCTGGGTGAGAACAAGCTCCTGGGGCATTCTCACCTGCAGCCCAGGCTGGGCCACTACGATCTGGGAAAACAAGGCTCAATTAGTGCATATCTGCCTTTACTTACATTTCAATTTATTATGTTTATAATTATAGAGACAGTTATCTGCTCCTTGGGAAGTAGATTGAAGGAGAGAGAAGTAGGAAAATAGTTACACACAATCTCATTACCCAGATACACCCACTGTTGATATTTTGTCATATTTCCTCCTTAGTTTTTGTTACTGTTTTTTTTTTAAGTATAATTGAAATCAAAAAGTATATATGATTTTGGAAACTTAAATGTAACAACATAAAAATTTCCTCATGCCTTAAACAATTTTGTAAACACAAAATGTAAATACCATTTTTAATAGCTGCATAAAACGGAAATACAGGCATGGACCACACTTTGAATTTTTTCCTCTTAAATTATGGTGTTAATAATATTAACATCGGCTCCTTCTTACTGAGCCCTCGCGAATTCTAGACACCGTGTTTAAGTGCCATACATAAATTATCCGGTTTTAGCTCTCAAATCAGTGCTGTGGAGTAAATACTGTTATTTTTCCCAGTGTTACCTATGACGAACCCGGCCCAGCAGGGGCTAATTGTCCATGCTCTGTGTGAAAAGCCACTGGATTTTTCTCAGTGTGTCTCTGTGCTCAAATGGAAACACGGAGGCCTGTCGAGACTATCCTTGAGAATTGGGAGAAGTAAAAACGAGGCTGGGCGTGGTGTCTCAGACCAGTAATCCTAGCACTTTGGGAGGCCAAGATGGGTGGATCGCTTGAGTCCAGAGGTTCAAGATCAGCCTGGGAAACATGGTGAAAACCCGTCTCTACTAAAAATAGAAAAAGAAAAATTAGCTGTGAGTGATGGTGTGCACCGGTAGTCCCAGCTACTCAGGAGGCTGAGGTGAAAGGATCACTTGAGCCTAGGAGGTTGAGGCTGTGGTAAGCTGAGAGCTAGACATGGCACTCCAGCTGGCGCGACAGAGGGAGACCCTATCTCAAAAAAAATGGACCGGGCGCAGTGGCTCAAGCCTGTAATCCCAGCACTTTGGGAGGCCGATGTAGGTGGCTCACTTGAGGTCAGGAGCTCGAGACCAGCCTGGCCAACATAGCAAAACCCCATCTCTACTAAAAACACAAAAGTTAGCTGAGTGTGGTGGTGTGTGTCTGTAATCCCAGCTACTAGGGTATCTGAAGCATGATAATTGCTTGAATCTGGGAGGTGGAAGTTGCAGTGAGCTAAGATTGTGCCACTGAATTCCACACTCCGGTCTGGGTGACAGAGTGAGACTGTCTCAAAAAAAAAAAAAAAAAAAAAAAGAATAGGCACCCCGGTGCTTCTCTCTCCATCCCCCGGGCAGTGGCCTGGCAGCGGCTCCCAGGTAGGGAGGAGGAGAGGCAGGGAACAGGCAGCCGTGTGCAAGACTGGGGTGCAGAGTGCTTCGGGGCTATGGCAGGCAGCAGTAGCCCTGGCCCCTGTCCTTTGCACACTTTGGTGTGTCAGAAAAACCTGAAAAGTGGATTCGAATTCAGCTGTGAAAGCAAGACAATTTTGGCCTATGCTGTGACACGGATGCACGGGAGGACACTGTGTGGAGTGTGGTGAGCTGGTCTCAGGGGCAGGGCTGCTGAGCCGCACATGGCAGGAGCACGGAGGAGTCAGGCCAGTGAGATGGAAAGTAGAAGGGATGCCAGGGGCTGGGGAGAAAAAGGAGGCATCCGTGTTTCGTGGGGACAGGGTTTCCGTTTGGGAAGATGGAAAAGTTCTGCAGATGGAGGTGGTGACGGCTGCACAACAGTGTGAGTGTGTGTAGTGCCACAGAACTGCACAGTGTGTGTGTGTGTAGTGTGTAGTGCCGCAGAACTGTATAGTGTGTGTGTGTGTAGTGCCACAGAACTGTATAGTGTGTGTGTGTGTAGTGCCACAGAACTGCACAGTGTGTGTGAGTGTGTGTAGTGCCACAGAACTGCACAGTGTGTGTGTGTAGTGTGTAGTGCCACAGAACTGTATAGTGTGTGTGTGTGTAGTGCCACAGAACTGTATAGTGTGTGTGTGTGTGTAGTGCCACAGAACTGCACAGTGTGTGTGTGTGTGTAGTGCCACAGAACTGCACAGTGTGTGTGTGTGTGTGTAGTGCCACAGAACTGCACAGTGTGTGTGTGTGTGTGTAGTGCCACAGAACTGTATAGTGTGTGTGTGTGTAGTGCCACAGAACTGTATAGTGTGTGTGTGTGTAGCGCCACAGAACTGCACAGTGTGTGTGTGTGTAGTGCCACAGAACTGTATAGTGTGTGTGTGTGTAGTGCCACAGAACTGTATAGTGTGTGTGTGTAGTGCCACAGAACTGTATAGTGTGTGTAGTGCCACAGAACTGCACAGTGTGTGTGTAGCGCCACAGAATTGCACAGTGTGAGTGTGTGTAGCACCACAGAACTGCACAGTGTGTAGCACCACAGAACTGCACAGTGTGTGTGTGGTAGTGCCACAGAACTGTATAGTGTGTGTGTGTGTAGTGCCACAGAACTGTATAGTGTGTGTAGCGCCACAGAACTGCACAGTGTGTGTGTGTGTGTGTGTGTAGTGCCACAGAACTGTATAGTGTGTGTAGCACCACAGAACTGCACAGTGTGTGTGTGTGTGTGTGTAGTGCCACAGAACTGTATAGTGTGTGTAGCGCCACAGAACTGCACAGTGTGAGGGTGTGTAGTGCCACAGAACTGCACAGTGTGTGTGTGTGTGTGTAGTGCCACAGAACTGCACAGTGTGTGTGTGTGTGTAGTGCCACAGAACTGTATAGTGTGTGTGTGTAGCGCCACAGAACTGCACAGTGTGTGTGTGTGTGTGTAGTGCCACAGAACTGTATAGTGTGTGTGTAGTACCACAGAACTGTATAGTGTGTGTGTGTGTAGTGCCACAGAACTGTATAGTGTGTGTAGTGCCACAGAACTGCACAGTGTGTGTGTAGCGCCACAGAATTGCACAGTGTGAGTGTGTGTAGCGCCACAGAACTGCACAGTGTGTAGCACCACAGAACTGCACAGTGTGTGTGTGGTAGTGCCACAGAACTGTATAGTGAGTGTGTGTAGTGCCACAGAACTGTATAGTGTGTGTAGCGCCACAGAACTGCACAGTGTGAGTGTGTGTAGTGCCACAGAACTGCACAGTGTGTGTGTGTGTGTAGTGCCACAGAACTGTATAGTGTGTGTAGCGCCACAGAACTGCACAGTGTGTGTGTGTGTGTAGTGCCACAGAACTGTACAGTGTGTGTGTGTGTGTAGTGCCACAGAACTGCACAGTGTGTGTGTGTAGCGCCACAGAACTGCATAGTGTGTGTAGCGCCACAGAACTGCACAGTGTGTGTGTGTAGCGCCACAGAACTGCACATTGTGAGTGTGTGTAGTGCCACAGAACTGCACAGTGTGTGTGTAGCGCCACAGAACTGCACAGTGTGTGTGTAGCACCACAGAACTGCACAGTGTGAGTGTGTGTAGCGCCACAGAACTACACAGTGTGAGTGTGTGTAGCGCCACAGAACTGCACAGTGTGTGTGTAGTGCCACAGAACTGCACAGTGTGTATGTAGCACCACAGAACTGCACAGTGTGAGTGTGTGTAGCGCCACAGAACTGCACAGTGTGAGTGTGTGTAGCACCACAGAACTGCACAGTGTGTGTGTAGCGCCACAGAACTGCACAGTGTGAGTGTGTAGCGCCACAGAACTGCACAGTGTGTGTGTAGTGCCACGGAAGTGCACAGTGTGAGTGTGTGTAGCGCCACAGAACTGCACAGTGTGTGTGTGTAGCACCACAGAACTGCACAGTGTGAGTGTGTGTAGCACCACAAAACTGCACAGTGTGTGTGTAGCGCCACAGAACTGCACAGTGTGAGTGTGTGTAGCCCCACAGAACTGCACAGTGTGTGTGTAGCACCACAGAACTGCACAGTGTGTGTGTAGTGCCACAGAACTGTATAGTGTGTGTAGCACCACAGAACTGCACAGTGTGAGTGTGTGTAGCGCCACAGAACTGTATAGTGTGTGTAGTGCCACAGAACTGCACAGTGTGAGTGTGTGTAGCGCCACAGAATTGCACAGTGTGAGTGTGTGTAGCACCACAGAACTGCACAGTGTGTAGCACCACAGAACTGCACAGTGTGAGTGTGTGTAGCGCCACAGAACTGCACAGTGTGTAGCACCACAGAACTGCACAGTGTGAGTGTGTGTAGCGCCACAGAACTGCACAGTGTGTAGCACCACAGAACTGCACAGTGTGAGTGTGTGTAGCGCCACAGAACTGCACAGTGAGTGTATGTAGTGCCACAGAACTGCACAGTGTGAGTGTGTGTAGCACCACAGAACTGCACAGTGTGTGTGTGTGGTGCCACAGAACTGCACAGTGTGTGTGTAGTGCCACAGAACTGCACAGTGTGAGTGTGTGTGGTGCCACAGAACTGCACAGTGTGTAGCACCACAGAACTGCACAGTGTGAGTGTGTGTAGTGCCACAGAACTGTATAGTGTGTGTAGTGCCACAGAACTGCACAGTGTGTGTAGCGCCACAGAATTGCACAGTGTGAGTGTGTGTAGCGCCACAGAACTGCACAGTGTGTAGCACCACAGAACTGCACAGTGTGAGTGTGTGTAGTGCCACAGAACTGCAGTGTGTGTGTAGCGCCATGGAACTGCACAGTGTGAGTGTGTGTAGCGCCACATAACTGCAGTGTGAGTGTGTAGTGCCACAGAACTGCACAGTGTGAGTGTGTGTAGCACCACAGAACTGCACAGTGTGTGTGTGTAGTGCCACAGAACTGCACAGTGTGTGTGTAGTGCCACAGAACTGCACAGTGTGAGTGTGTGTAGCACCACAGAACTGCACAGTGTGTGTGTAGTGCCACAGAACTGCACAGTGTGAGTGTGTGTGGTGCCACAGAACTGCACAGTGTGTATGTAGTGCCACAGAACTGCACATTTAGAAATGATGGAAGGAGGCGGATATGGCCGCTCACACCTGTAATCCCAGCACTTTGGGAGATTGAGGTAAGAGGACTGCTTGAGTCCAGGGGCACTCAAATATTGCCTGGGCAATACTGTAAGACCCCATCTCTACAGAAAAAAAAGAGTGTGTCGTGGTGCACACCTACAGTCCTAGCTACTCAGGAGGCTGGTGGGGGACAGTCACTTGAGCCCGGGAGGTCAGGGTGCAGTGAGCCACATTCACGCCACTGTACTCCAGCCTGAGTGACAGAAGCAGACCCTGCAAAAAAAAAAAAAAAGTTAAGGGTACATTTTACATTATGTGTTTTACCACATTAAAAAAAAAATCAAAGCAGCCAAGTTACTTCCTATTGACTTGGGTTGCAGACCCTCCTTTGAAGAACTTGAAGCCGGCCTCACTGCTGATCTATCACAGCCGGCGGAGAGTCAGGTGCCTGCTCAAGAAGAGGAAACGAGGAAAAGGGGACCTGAGACCCAGGATCAACAAAACTCACGTGGGAGTAGCATGACTCGTTTCAGAGGACAAGCAGGAGCAGGTAGCCACTGCCATGTCACACGTTTTCTCAACGTGTGGGCTGAGGGCCAGAAGCCGCCCCCTGACTGGGCTTCCCCTGCCTGTGAGCCAGACCCTTAAGGACCTTTGAGGGCCAGCAGCTCTGCACAACACACGCTCCGCCCTCCAACCTCATCTCCATACAGGACTCCAGAAATTTATGCTGGTTGGAAACCACCCACCCAAAGGAACCTGCAGAATGCCAGACAGACCCTTGGGAGAGGTGTGGAGGCTCTCACCCAGGCTTATCTCCCTAGGAGGAGGGAGGAGTGGAGGGGAGGTTGGAGCTCCGGGGCTCCAGAGCAGCTTCCATAACTGTGAGAGGTGAAACTGACCCAGCAGTCCCATAGACAGTTTTTTAGGGATACACATAGAAATTGACCCCTTTGGTCTTTAAGCTTGAAACTTATATTTGTTTTATCTAAGTTCTTTCCTCAGAAAGGACCCTGCCCCACTAAAAAGTATCAAAGAATTGAAACTCACCAGATCACTGCATGGCAGGCAAGAAGCGAGGCTCCGCCTTCATCATGATTGCTTCCTTACCCCTCCTGAGTTCCTGTTTTTCCCATACATTACATTTCTAACTTGCTGTACAAACCCCCAGTTTTAGTCGGCCAGAGCAAGATGGCTTTGAGACTGAGCTCCCATCTCACGCGGCACCTAATTAAAGCCTTCTTCCTTGGCAAGGCTCATTGTCTGCCATGCTTTCGGTGGAGTGAACAGCAGGACCTAAACTGAACCCCTGGTGTTTCAGTAACACGGGAAGGGCTGAGCTTCAGCGCTTAACAGCTCTGCAGCTGGGGCTGGAGTCAGAAACCAGCCCAAGCAGGTGCGGGGACAGCTCCCTGCACCAAGGGCAACAGGACCCGGAATCAGGAAGCAATTCTAAAGGCCTCTGAACAGTTGATTTAAATATTCGAGAGCTCAGGTACTAAATCTTACGACTTTCGGCTTTCGGTGATAATAGAGCCCCGAGCTGTCACTTCCAACCTACTTACACCCAAACACAATTCAAACAACCTTGGCTACTTGAGTTTTCAGCTCACAGTGTTATTAGAAATAGAATATTTGGGGGGGTAGCTGAGGGCACTGCCACAGTCAGGCACGTAGAGAGGGTTCCGAGTCCCTCCCTGACTCCAGAGTGCCAGGTGTTTACGCAGGGAAGAAAACAGTGACAGCTCTGTGGCCCCGTTCACAGAGGATAAACAACACCAATCCTGGGAATGGGGGCTCCCAGAGGAGGCCGCAGGCCCCACGTGGAATACATTTTCCTTCTCATTAGAACCATTGTGTCAATAGGTTAAGGACATCTGTGGCTGTGGGGGGCATTCCAGCAGAGCTGGGCCTTCTCCTGGAAGGCGGTGGAGGGCGCCGGAGCACTGAGACGGAGCGAGCTTTCAGCCCTCGTCTGTCACTGCGTGCTGGGAGCCAGCATGGCTGTTTCTCCACTTGCAATGCCATGGAGCTGCCAGGAGAAGCTACACAAACTAGGGGGCTGAAAGCAAAGCAGCAGGATTTCATTCTCCCACAGTTCTGGAGGCCAGAAGTCTGACGTCAGCGTGCATGCAGGGCTGTGCTCCTCGGAAGGTTCTAGGGGAGGGTCCTTCCCTGTCCCCTCCAGCTCCCAGGGGCCCCCACAACCCTCGGCGCTCCTTGGTTGGTAGATGCGTCACTCCAATCTCCACTCGCATCTCCCTTGGCGTTCTTTACGTCCAGATTTCCCCACCTTTTGAGGCCACCAGCCATCAGATTCAGGGCCCGCTGGAATCCAGCATGACCTCCTCTTAACTCAATTGTGTCTGCAAAGACCCTATTCCAAATAAGGTCACAGTCTCGGGTGTTAGGTGGCCATGAACTGAGGGGGCGTATTGAACCCAGCGTACCCATTCTTACCGGCTTCAACTCCCTTCCCACCTTCTCCAGCATTCTCCTGGCCTCTGAGACTTCAGCCAACCAGAGTCCAGCCACTGGAGGAAGGAATGTTCCCTGCCCGGGGCTGAGGATGAGGAGCAGGCGGCGCTGTGGAAGCCAGCCTGAGGACGGCAGGCACTGGTGGGAACAGAGCCACTGGGCTCCCAGAAACACCCTCAGACCTGCCTTCGGTTTGTACCCGGCACCCACGCTATTGCTGCCTTTATTGATATAGACCAAAAAGCCCCTCCCTGTGTTAGCCTGACTGGGGTTCCCCTACAACCCCAAGTGTCTTAAGGGATGTCCCCCCAGGCACACGGAGGAGAAGCTGCCCCACTTTTTTCCCCGAATGAGACAAAAGGAACTTTTCTGCTTTGGCAAAAAGTAACTGAAAAGGGACTTGGATTTGTGGCCAGTCCATCTGCCATTGGTCCCCTTGCCCCATGGCACAGGGCCAGCTCTGGAGCCAAGGACATTTTGGACAATTGAGGAGCTCTGCCCCCGTGCAGCGAACTGAAAGCAGTGATGGACATAAATGAATTCCGGCGTGGACAGGAAACATGTGACACGTCTTGGCAGATCCCAGTCCTGGGCGCCTCGGAATAGACACCAAAATGAGAAGAATCCAAATAAGGTCTGACGTAGACAGAGGGGACGTCACTAATGTGGGCAGGTCCTAAAGCAACCCTTCAGTAGTTCCTGTAATCCTGTGTAAAAATAATACAGTAATAACGGTAACGGATCATCAGAAATCACTAGAGGCAGTGTGCCTCTCAAAGACAAATGTCTGTTTGTCATTTCAATGAAAAAATTGAAACGTTTAAACATTTAAAAAGATGAAGACTTTACCACCTAAAAGAGTCAAGCCACGTGATGACACGTGGGTGCAGACAGTGACTGGGACAGGCTTCCTTTGGATTAGCTCCCTGTGTTAGGAAAGCACCCAATGTGTGGTGACTGGGTCAGGGCCTGACCCAGGGACATACAGAAAGGACAGCGCGTGATGCCAGCGGCAGAGAGTGTGGCAACAAGTCTACTGCTAGGGAACGTGAACCCTGAGGATTGCTGGGGCCGCCAGACATGGAGGGATCCTCCCTGGAACCTTCAGAAGGAGCATGGGCCTGCTGACACCATGACTTCAAACTGGCAGCCTCCAACACTGGAGAGAGTAATTTCTGTCATTCGCAGCCACCCCGTGTGCGGTGATTGCTTACGGCAGCCCTCGGAAAAGGGTACAGGCAGCTTTGACAGTTGCTCCTCCAACTTGCCGTGGTGAGACTGTAAAATATTGATGCATCTGCACAGATTGGATGACAAAATGCAAAACAATGAAAAAAAAAACCCACCTAGATTTGTAGAATTATGAATGCTCTTACACTTGTTTTTTGAGTAAATGTTTATACATTGTCATAAATAATATTTGAAAAGAAAAGCAGCTACTACTCAGATAGTAGAGCCACAGTTGGGGTAAAAACCCACAGAGGAAGGTCCACAGCACCCGGTTATGGCCGGGGGGGAGCAGGGGTGATGCCCACGTCATGCTTTTCTGCATAAGTGGGAGTCTTGCTCTATTTTCCTGCTGCTGAAACAGAATCCCACAGATTGGGTAACCTATAGAAAAAAATAGGTTTATTTGCTCATGGTTCTGCAGGCTGGGAAGTCAGATCCAGAGGCTGCATCTGGTGAGGGCCTTCGTGCTGTGTCAGCAGGTGGCGGAAGGGTGAGTGAGCACAGTGACACAAAGGGAGGCGTGTGACCCAGGGTACCCTCTTACTCATTGTTAGCCCATCCACAAGGCACAGCCATGTGGACTGATTGCCTGCTGAAGGCCTCAGCTCTAATACTCTTACAATGACAATTCCATTTCAACAGGAGTTTGGGCAGGGACATTTAAATTTCAATGGGACAGGACTTGATTTCAAGTTAAACAGATTCTGAGATCATAACTTGCTTAATAATAACTCACTGCCATATTTTTACAGGAAAGGGGTCCTGACCCAGGCCCCAAGAGGGTGTTCTTGGATTTTGAGCAATAAAGAATTCAGGGTAAGTCCATACAGTAAAGTGAAAGCATGTTTATTAAGAAAGTACAGGAATAAGAGTGGCCACTCCAAAGACAGAGGAGCCCCGAGGGCTGCTGGGCCCATTTTTATGGTTATTTCTTGATGATATGCTAAACAAGGGGTGGGTTATTCATGCCTCCCCTTTCAGACCGTGTAGGGTAACTTCTTGACGTTGCCATGGCATTTGTAGGCTGTGGCGGCGCTGGCAAGCGTGTAGCAGTGAGGACGACCAGAGGCCACTGTCATGGCCATCTCACTTTTGGTGGGTTTTCGCCGGCTTCTTTCCTGCAAGGTCTTTATGATCTGTATTTCGTGCTGCCCTCCTATCCCATCCTGTGACTTAGAATGCCTTAACTGTCTGGGAATCCAGCCCAGTAGGTTCCAGCCTCATCATACCCACCTGCTATTCAAGATGGAGTTGCTCTGGTTCACGCACCTCTGACAATATGAGGGTTTGAGACAAGACAGGAATGGCCTGGAGGGATGCATCTGAGGAGGGCCGGGCTCTGCGTTCCCTGTACCTGAGCCTGGGCAGGTCTCTTGCTCTGAGCCTCAACTCTTCACGTCCTCAGTGGAGCTCCTTGTAGCAGTTTGCCAACGTCCCAGGACTGTTGCAATGGGAGTGCAATGAAGTGTGGAGATTCTTTGAAGAAGGAAAATGACAACTCAAAAAATTCACATCATTTACAACATTAACGAGGGGGGGAGCCACAGGACACAAGAAACTTACTTACCTTAAAATAGTGAAAACAAAGAAAAGTGCTTTTCAGGGTTTATCATTAGTGCGGTTTTACTATCTGTCTTGTAGCACAGATTTTAACTGATTCTAAATGTGTCATCAGCTGTTTAAAACCTACAGACTCTCCAGGCATGGATACGTCCTGTGCAGGATCAGAGTCTCACCTGTTCCGGCCCTCAACTGTGCATTGAACCGGAAAGTGAGAACCAGACGGCCAGGCCTGCTTTGGACTGCTCCTCCCAGTAGCACATGTGGTTAATTTCAGTCATCGGTGGCAGGATTGCGTTTTTCCCAACTTGGATTACTTGGATCTTTACAATTTAAGTACATATGTTTTCAAAGTTAATAAAAAGATTTTACATATCAGTTGAGAGCTTTGTGATGCCATGAGCAGGTCCAAGCTGAAGGGAAAGATCAATGAGCTGTTCCCTCCTCCCCGGGGGGGGGGGGGATGGGAGGAAGCTGTGGAAAGCTCCAGAACCACTCCAAGTCACGGGGAAAGGCCAGGGAATCCGAGGGAATTTTGGCAAAACGAGTGGGAAACGTTCCTTTGCACACAGAGCCTTTCCAAAGAGCGTGGTTTCCTCCCTGTTCCCACCCGCTCTGCCTTTGGCATTAACCTTTCTTGTAATTGGAAATTCTGATAATGAAGAAAATTTATAATGACATTCAAAGGCTAGAAAAGTTTCTCACTCAGACAAAGCCATGGACAGATAAATTACAATGCCTCGCCGAGTTTCCTAATTGTGTTTCATCAAAGTTGAAGAAGGGAGCCTCTGAGAAAACATCACAAGAAGAATGTTTGGTCTGGAGAGGAGAGTGGCTTCGGAACTGACTGCTACTTTCTAGAATGCGAAGTGCTATTGTTAGGGCAGAGGCTGTCTTCATTCCTCATCTGCCCCATGGCAGAACAGGAGAGCAGTTGTTTGGGTGGGTTTCTGGTTACTTGCCCCTCAGTGGTCCCACCTCTCCCCATCTCTCGCTTTTTTTTTTTTTTTTTTTGAGACAGGGTCTCCGTTTGTCACCCAGGCTGGAGTGCAGTGGCACAATCTCAGCTCACTGCAACCTCTGCCTCCCGGGTTCAAGTGATTCTCCTGCCGCAGCCTCCTGAGTAGCTGGGATTACAGGCACCCGCCACCAAGCCTGGCTAATTCTCCCTGTCTCTTTAGACTTTCACATCCCTCAGGGAGCGCCCCCACCATGGGGACAGGGACGCTGGACATCCTCAGGGTGTGCTGATGCGGCACCAAGTCCTCAGGGCAGCTCCTCCCCTCCTGGCCCACTCCAGAAGAAGTGAGATCTGCTCATGTTTCAAAGCAGCCTTTAACCAAGACGTTCCCAATTGTCTTCGCCTTCATGTGTCCCCAGTTTAGGGGTGGTTTTTCCTCTGTATATGTCCTCTTTTTCTTCCTGACACTTTCTGCTCCCATTGCTAATGCAGTTTGTGGAACAGAAAGGTAAACAGCCGGTGGAGGGATTAGTGAGCCGCAGATTACAGTCAAGGGAAGACCTGAATCGGCAGAAAACCCTTTGGAGACCAACCCAGGCAGAATTCTGATTTCTCACATGCTCCATTCTCTGATGTTTCAAGACATGAATAGGTCTGTGTCTGTTGCTTTTATCTGATATGACAGACAGTGGTGCTTCTCATGTGAAAAGCACTCTACTCAGTACTTACATTATTTTTGCTCTTATGACGAGCCTAGTACTATTCCTAACTCTACAATGGAGAAATGGGCACAGAGGGAAAACGGCTCATGCAGAACCATCTGGCTGGGAACAGAGAGGCTGACATTTAACTGCTCTGTTGCTTCTCACATTGACGTGAGATGCAAAAGTTAAGGAACACCCGTGCCTCCACGTAAGTACTTGTTTATATGCAGAGCTAAGGAAGGACATTTCTGTGAACGTAACCGAAAGCACCCCACTCTTGGTCCTGAATGGAAACAGCTCCGTTCTTTCTGTGAACGCTGTGCTGTTGGCCTTGACGCGTCTCGTGTCCTTGGGCAGCAGTGACGTTCACTGCTCAAGATGCAACTGGGCTGTGGGTGGACTTTCTTTTTCTTTATTTCTTCTTCACTAATCTTTTAGCCCATTGCTACCAGAGCTAAGTTAGGAAAACGGTTTTCCTGGATCGATGTGAAGATTGGGCTGTACAGGAAGTTGGCTCAAAGCTAAAGCGAAGGTCTTTATTTACTGAGCACGCTTCATCATTGTGCAATATCTGCCCACCTCGCAGAAGGGAAAGGATCAAAGGAAGGCACGTCTGTGGCTGAAGAAAAAGGACGGAGCACCGTGTTCAAGAGGAAGCGTCATTCTGAGCACAGTTCCTCAGCAGCGCTTGGCCGGGCCAACTTCTTTTATGGTCACTTCTACTCTCCAGAACCTTGAGAGGATTTTTAAAGTCACAAAATCATTTTTGCTTGGTATGTAA